CCACCATGAATCCCTCCCTCCTGCACCCCAAAGCCCTCATCCCTAGCTCCATCCTGAAGCCCATGCCCTCAGCCCAGAGCCTATATACCCTCCTGCACGTTAACTCCCAGTCCTGAGCACCTCCCCAAACTCAGAGTGCCCATCCTGCACCCCAAACTACTCAGCCCCACCTCAGACCCTGCACTCCCCAGCCAAAGCCCATGCACCACAACCTTCTGTCTCTATCCTGAGCCCCTCAGCTCCATCCTAGAGCCTGTATTCCCAGCTAGAGCCCTCGTACTCCTGCACAGCAAACTTCTGCCTCAGCTGTGATTGCCCTCCCACACTCAGGACTGCCTATCACATAGTTTTGCCATATGCAGTGGTCTGAAGGTGATGTGTGACACATCAGCTCCATGCTGCATGTCACCTCCACATTGGTACACACAAGAAAATTCGTTTTGCTCAGGAGTGGGAGAAATTTGAGGGAACACTGTTGCTGAAACTTGCGGCTTTTAGCCTGCAACATGAAGACTTGCTGCAGGCCAGATCATGTTTAAACTTGTTAAGCTTGCAGGCTGTAGGTTCCCCATCACTAGTTTAGGGTAACCAGGGTTACAAATGACTTGGTACTTCAAAGCGTCTTCTTTGGCAGCTTACGGTGCCAGTCCTGCTCCCGCTGAAATCAGTAAGGTTGTGTCTAGACTGCATCCCTTTTTCGTAAAAGGGATGCAAATTAGACACATCCCAATTGCAAATGAAACGTGGATTTAAATCCCCCTGCTTCATTTGCATAAACATGGCTACAGACTCAGAGTTTTGCTATTAACTTCAAGCCTTTTATGAGACAGCAGTTTCTTAGGGACAATATAATTTGGGGTTGACTGTAGCACAGATTGACAAACAATATGTATGAGGGGGGTTGTTTTTGGTAGGAGAGACAAAAACATAACTCGTTAGAAAACACATTTTTTTTCTAATTCTGCAAGCCAAGATTGTTATGCATATTGCTGTGTTTCTTATTCTTAACAGTAATATTTCTCTCTGTACAGCACAATAGTAAGATGGAGGACTATGAGAAGTTCTGTGAAAAGCATCTTGCCAGGATCCAAGGAGAGTTGATTCAGGGAAAAACCTCTTCATCTTCTCAGCAGAATATATC